ATGTGTGTGTATGTATGTACAATATGAAATGTAGCATCGAGTTTGTAATCTGTGTAAATTGTATGTATAATTTCAAAGAACAAATGGTAGATGGATATTTAACTTATTCTAAATACATTACAACAATGAATATAAATCCTATTTTCAGTTCAAGCATTGTTCTTTATGTTGAAATAGTTAGGCAATATCATATATTATATAAAATATATCCATTATTTGATGAATGTTTCTACATTACATCCCTTTTTGTTACAGTATTCGTTAAACTTTGGATAATAAATTTAGTATCAAAAGGGCTTTTGTGGAGATTTTAGAAATGTCACTGATTGAAACCATGAGTTAATTGAAGTTAAACCACCATGGAAAACCTGGAAGCACTGAACGGCCGTTCCGTCCTATTGTGGGACTTCTCAGCAGTTCACATCCACGATTCCGCACCCCGAGAGATCCGAACCCAGGACCTATCAGTCTCGCGCTAGGCGCTTAACCAACTAGAACAATGAGCCAAGCGGCATCCAACAGCGTTAATGTCTAACTTCAACCAATCCACGAAGTTGTGCCACCGTACACTATTGTCTTCAGTGAGTTGATATCTCACAACAGACCTGATTGAACTCCACTGATAACGGCAGGATCGTTGATGCGCACTGCTGAGGATTCCCATACTACGGTGAAACGGCCGTCCAGTGCTTCTCAGTTTTCCAGGGTGGTCTAGCTTCAATTGACTCATGATTTCAGTCAGTGAAATAAATTTAGTGTTTACATATTTACATATATGCATTCTAAAACTAGGGATAACCTTTGTTGTAGCATAAATGCATCAAACATCGTTTCCTGTATTTTATTGATTTTCTGTTTATACAACGATTTATAAAACGCTTATTTACATATGCCTATTACTCCTTATGGAGGAGCATAGGCCGCCCTTCAGCACTCTCTATTCAATTCTGTCCTTGTCAATATTTTTCAGTTTTTTCCAGTTGTTATTCACCCATTTCATATCTGCTTCCAAGTTCCGAAGTAGTGTGTTCTTCAGCCTTCCTCCTTTCTGCTTCCCTTCAGAGTCCCGAGTTAGGGCTTGCCTTGTGATACAGTGTGGTGATATCCACTTCCAACGTCTTTTCCTAATTTCCTCTTCGGCTGAAAGCTGGTCTGTTCTATCCTGAAGAACGCTAATGCTGATGTTATACAGCTAACGGATATTGAGTCTCTTGCGTAGACAACTATTTATAAATACTTGTACCTTCTTGATGGTCGTAGTACTTCCCCACGTTTCACCTCCGTACAGTAGAATTGTCTTCACGTTCGTAATGAAGATTGTGACCTTGATATTGGATGACAGTTATTTTGATTTCTAAATGTTCTTCAATTGTGCGAATGCGACCCTTGATCACATCGCTATCAGCCACCGATGGAGGGGCTCGATAGAAGACTGTCGCTCATTCTGGAGCACATGCCTAGATTCAGATCATGCTCTAGTACGAGCGCGTATTTGCCTGCGTCTTACTGGACGTAGGAAAAACGCTGCAAGGAAACCTCTTAGGGGCCTACTTAATGATAGTCAAGCTAAGAGTATATTTCAGGAGCAACTAGGAAAACAGTTAGGAAGTCATGTATGTGATGCCCACCCCGAGGCAGCATGGAATGATATCCGAAAAGCTGTGGAAACAGCAGTGATATCTGTTAGTAAGGTAAACCACAAGGTTAGGGAGCAACACTGGATCTCAGCAGCATCTATCGCACTGATAGAAGCTCGGAAACTCATTCCACCTGGCTCTGAACATAGTGAAGAGCGGAGTCAGCTTAAGCGCAAACTGACAAGAAGTCTACGCAATGATTGCGAACAGTGGTGGGTAGCGAAAGCAAGAGAGATGGAAAAGGCAACGGCAATAGGTAATAGCAGACAATTGTTTAGACTCGTTAAGGAAACCGGAATTAGGAACCCGACTATTAGCGAAACAATCTCAGAGAAAGATGGACATATTATTCATTCTCAATCCAGGAGATTGGATCGATGGGCAGAATACTTCAGGGATCAGTTCAACTGGCCTTCAGCCACACTTCGGTTTCCCACGATCTCCAGTCAACCTGAATGGCAAGTTAATGTAGGTCCTCCATCTCTTTATGAAGTTGAAAAAGCCATAGGAAATCTGAAACGAGGGAGAGCAGCAGGCCCTGACAGGTTTGCTCCTGAGATTTTTAAGGATGGTGGTCCAGTATTAGTAATGAGATTAACCGAGGTCTTAGGTAGAATTTGGGAACTGGACGTAATCCCATCTGACTGGTCTCAATCACTGATTGTGCCAGTTTATAAGAAAGGACAAAAGTCCTCTTGTGACAATCACAGAGGAATCAGTTTGACTAATATAGTGTCTAAAATATTAGCTTCAATAATACTTCGACGCCTAATCAAAGCTCGTGAAGAGCAGACTAGAGAAAACCAGGCCGGTTTTCGACCTGGACGTGGTTGTATAGATCAGATATTCACACTACGTCAGGTTCTAGGACACAGACACACGTTTAGACGCCCCACAATGGTAGTATTTCTCGATCTTAAGGCGGCATTCGACTCTGTTGACCGTGAGGTTCTATGGCAGTGTTTGTCACTGAAAGGAGTACCAAAGAAGTACATTAACCTTATAAAGGCTCTCTACTCGAACACATCTGGTAGAGTGAGAGCTTATGGCGAACTGTCATCAGAATTGATTACCTCAAGTGGTGTTCGTCAGGGCTGTCCACTCTCCCCATTCTTGTTCAACTTTGTCATTGACGTACTTTTAGAGATAACACTCTCCTCATCTAAATTTCCAGGGGTTGAACTTCTACCGGGAGGTTCACTTGTTGACTTAGAATATGCCGATGACATAGTTTTATTTGGTGAAGACGCTGACAAAATGCAGAGTCTTCTGACCACTCTAAGCAACAATGCAAGCATGTTCGGGATGCGATTCTCTCCCTCGAAATGCAAAATGTTGCTTCAGGATTGGGTTACATCGACACCCGAACTAGTGATAGGGAGTGAAGTAGTTGAGTGTGTCGACCGCTTCACTTATCTTGGAAGTCTCATCAGCCCTTGTGGTCTGGTGTGTGACGAAATCTCAGCACGGATACAGAAGGCTCGACTAGCTTTTGCCAACTTGCGTCATTTATGGCGTAGGCGAGATATCCGTCTGTCAACCAAAGGACGTGTTTACTGCGCAGCAGTTCGTTCCGTCCTACTTTATGGCTGTGAAACATGGCCGGTAAGAGTAGAAGATATTCGTAGGTTACTAGTATTTGATCATAGGTGTCTTCGAAGTATTGCTCGTATATCCTGGGAACACCGAGTAAGTAACGCAGCTGTTAGGAAACGGGTACTAGGTAAGGATGGCAAATCAATTGATGAAGTAGTGAAACTTCATCAGTTGAGATGGCTGGGACACGTGTTACGTATGCCCAACCACCGACTACCTTGACGTGCTATATTCAGTGGTATAGGAGTAGGTTGGAAGAAAGCTAGGGGCGGCCAGACCAAAACATGGCACAAATCCATGAAGTCACTGACAAGTGGACTGAGTCATGTTGGTAGGTGTAGACTACCTGGTTGGGGACCGCGAGATGATAGCAACCGATGGTTAGAGACCCTGAATGACATGGCTCAAAATCGTTTGCAATGGCGCAGGTGCATCCACTCTCTATGTTCTCCCAAATTCTAGTTATCTGAATTCTTCATGCCCCTTTTTTTTCCTCTTTCCAAATTTATTACACTGGATTATACTCGTTAAATAACATCTCCAAACCCTAATCTTCCCGATTACTGCTTATACTCTTGCTACCTCTACCACTACGGGATTTGAATCGACCACTGCATCTCTGTGCTAATGTGGTATGGCAACTCGAACTGATGTACGTACGTACTAAGTTCTACGTTGTTACTGACTGACTGATTGACTGAATGCGACCCTTGCTTTGCCAATCCTCACCTTTATGTCTGAATCCGATCCTCCTTTTTCACAAAACATCAATACATTTTATTTATATGTTAATCGCATTTGTAAGCATCAATGCCATGGTTGGACTTGGTAGTTTCAAATAAATTAAGAGTTGTGTTAAGAGTGAATAATCAATTTTTTTGCTATCCGAATGAGTAAAAAGATTGTATATCTGACATTTCGTTACTTGATGTAGGCTGCTTCTTCAGGGTAAATAAATGATTGAAATAAAATTAACACAAGTTTATTTATTTACTCTGAAGAAGAGGCCTATATTAAGTCACAAAACGTCGAAAATACAATTTTTCTACTCATTAGGATACTGCAAGAAAATATATTTTTTACTAACTGCATTTGTTATGCAATCTAAACTCTACCAAATAAATCTTACTTGTGAGATGAAACCTCAAAAACGTAGTGATACATTCTAATCAATTTGTAAATAAGCAAATAATATAAAGACGTCATTTAGAACTAATGCACAGATGATTATTATTATTTCATTCTTATTTAAAATGTAACCGGTTGTTGGCCAATAGGCTTTCAAGACTATTTTATTGTTCAATTATTAGGTATGATACTATAATTAAATATAGAATCAAACGTTCAATAAAGTAAAAGGCTTTATTGAAGTATCGATTTTTGTATCGATAGTTAATGTCTACTGACATTCTTGAGAAAGAGAGAGAAACTGAAAAGAAACTTTAACTTTTTAACGTTATCAATTAGCTTGTTGGCATTCTGGGTTTTTTTTTCATTAAGCTCATCTCTAATCCAAACTCCATTCCTACTGATTTTGATATGGGCTATCAAGTTGTTTGATAACCCTTCTTCTATGCTCAAACAGTTTGGCTCGAAATTAAACATATGAATCCATAAATTACCATAAACTACTAACAGTTCTTAGTGAACCCTATATGAAGTTCCAATTGGCTACAGTGTTTCCTTATATCATTATAACTATTACTGTTTATAGATCTAGTGTGTTCTTCTTTCTAAGTTAACAATTCTTCCCCTCTATTTATTTAGGATTTAACTATTACTGTGACAACAGAACGACCTGATACAGAAGTTGATATTATTCCTGATCAAGTAGAAATGTCTGCTATCAATATACAAACATTTGTTGATCAACAAGTAAGTAATATGAGTTATGTTTACACGGAAAACTTGTTTACGTAATATGTTACTTCATTGAAATTCTAAAGAGACTTTATTCAAATTAAAATCGAAATATTTAAATGGATCTTCAAACTTGATGATAAATTGTTTTGGGATCTGGTTTACAAGCGACTGTTTATAGTTCTCAGCTTGTTTTCCAAAAGTATAACGATAGATTCATTCTATTTTGTAACTGCGTCAATTGAGACAGTAACAGTTACAACACTTGCCTATTCCAACTAACAATGTGACTATTGATTTCTAATTTCATAACGACCAATGTAGTGCAAAAAATTTTGTGAGTAGATGACTATGTGGTCGATTCTTTGAAATGATGTAAAATCTTGGTGGTTGATTATTTTAAAAAATGACACAGGTTTCAAATCAACGGCCAATAGAACAATCTATCAAAACAATAAAGCTTTTTCATACTCTGTAAAACAACATCACCTGACATAACTGTTATAAGGCCCTGAGAATTGATTTGCTATTAGTTGACACTTGTTAACTGAGTATATCTGCAGTCGTGAAAAAATGGTATCGACTAGGATTTAAAGGTTAGTGTCATTCAATCACAAAGACTGACGTAAATTGTTTACGTTAATAAGAAATGAGACTGTCTCTCACCATGAAATTGATCAAGATTTGTAATCAAGTACCGAATGGATTGAGATCTAGGTTTAGCGCTTTCTCTCAATCACATCTAACAACGTCCATGGTGATGATGAATCATTAAGGCTAGTGGTTACATTGAAACCTGACCAATAATATTCAATATTGTAATATAAATTCAATTACTGAACATTGGTTCATGTTAAGATGATTCATCAACGCATTGGTTAGAATCGATACACATTATGGTTCCTTGACACTCGACAATAGCTGAAAGTGACTAACCATACAATGATTTAGTCGATCTTTTATTTCTGTGATTGCACATCAACATCATAGTAATATGATTATTTATCTAAACAAATGAATTTGATCATCGACTGGAACGTATTGTTTTTTGCCTTTAGAAAAATGATTATTATTACTGAAGTCATCCACAAAATAATATTTAAAGTCCAGTAAGATATTAAATGTAAAAATGAGTATATTTATGTGGACTTATAAAGATTGCTGTTAGCTTGAAGTATCGAAACCTATAAGCAGATGGTTTATAAATATATAAAGTACTTTGTGTATTAGAATTACATATAACCTTATGCATTTTAATGTAATTTTCTGGCTTGTTCTCTATTAACTAAAGATTAAAATATGCGGAATTCACAGGCATAACCCGAATATCAGAAAGGGTTTTGTGGAGATTTTAGTAATGTAAATGGTTGAGATGGTGAATCAATTGAAGCTAAACAACCATGGAAAACCTAAGAGCACTGGACGACCGTTTCGTCCTAGAATGGGACTCCTCAGCGGTGCGCACCCACGATCCCGCCTCGCAAGATTCGAACCCAGGACCTATCGGTCTCGTGTGTGAGCGCTTAACCAATAAACCACTGAGCTGGGTGGTATCCAACGGTATAAATGTCTAACTTCAACTAATCCATGAGATTGAGCGACATATATACTCACTAGTAACTGCCTTCAATCGGTATTTTCTGGTGCTCTAGTGAGAAGCAGTGAACAATGGAGTTCAATCGGGTCAGTTGTGAAATAGTAACTCACTGAAGAGAATGGCGGATGTGTCGCCCAATTTCGTGGATTAGTTTGAGTTAGTCATTAACGCCATCGGATGCTGACCTGTTCAGTGGTCTAGAGTCTAATTGTTTTCTCGCGAGACTGAAGGCTCTGGGTTCAAATCCCACGGAGTGGAATCGTGGATGCGCACTGCTGTGAAGTTCCATACTAGGACGAAACGGCCGTCCACTGCTTCCTGGCCTTGAATGTTGGTCTAACTTTGATCGATTCATGATCTCAATCAAAAACGTAACAAAAATCTCCACAACTCCATATTGAATTTAAATCCAATAATCCAGATTTCCGAAAATAATCAAGCCTACACTCTACTTATAAGCTTACATGTATAGTTACCAGTAGAAAAATATCCCCCCTCCAAAAAGCCCATAATTTTTATTACTTATCGGACTCCCCCCACCTCAATAAAGGATGTTTATCATTAAAATGTTGTAGTGATCTTGTCCAAATTCAAAATAATTGCAGAATCATTTTGAAAAGAATCGAATTCTTTTCTTTACAGTTTTCTTTTCTTCTAATTTGTCATCTCTCTATTTATCTGAACAATTTCATGAATCAATAATTAGTAGTTTTGAATTAATCTCTTGATAAACAAATGGCTTGTTTATTTATTTATTTTCTTTGTAATAGATAAACAAGTAAATAAACTGAATTACTTTCTTATAAAAGTTTAATTAGTATAAAAGTAATTTGTGATGAATGTATAAAGAGGATTATTAATATGGTTGTCGATAGACATCTAAAGTCTTGCAAATTCCTGGCAGGTGTTATCTTATCAGATACTAAACATCTTGTCCATTCATATCTTTCTCCTTGTGTATCTTCTGGTAGAACGAGACGTCAATACATTAAAATCCATTCATGCAAGCTAATGTATAAAAGTTCTATAATACCCTATCTAACAAATTAACTCTGTGACGAACAGGTTGTTACAGTTAACCTAGTCGATAAATAACCTATTTTTTTAAACATGTCTCCAATGAAAAAGTTGTACAGATTCAAAACCTTTGTTCACCTTTTTCTCTTCTGTTTTCATTTCCTGTTTTTGTAAGAGAAACTTGTTGAAATATCTTGTGTTGAGAATTCTGTATTGTACCAAAACTTAATATTGAATAAAGCCAATAATAATAACAATAATAATAATAATGTCGCTCAATTTCGTGAATTGGTTGAAGTTAAACAGTAACATTGTTGGATGCTGACCGGTTCCGTGGTCTAGTGGCTAAGTGCTCGCACGCGAGTCTGGTAGGTCCTGGGTTCGAATCTCGCAGGGGGCGAGGTCGTGGATACGCACTGTTGAGGAGTCCCACATTAGGACGGAACGGCCGTACAGCGCTCCCAAGTTTTCCATGGTGGTCTAGCTTCAATTGACTCATGATCTTAACCACTGAAAGTAATTTAATAGTTGAATTCATGAATCACATGAAGTTAGACAACCATGGAAAACCTGGAAGCATTGGACAACTGTTTCGTCCTAGTATGATACTTAACAGCAGTGTATTCGCGCACGACACCGATAGATCTCATATTCGAATCTCGTGAGGCAGGATCGTGAGTGCACAATGTTGAAGAATTCCATATTAGGGCGAAACGGCCATTTTATACTTCCAAGTTTTCTATATTAATCAATTGATTCATGAATTCAACTATTAAATTAACTATAATATTCACAAAACCCCTTTCTTATTTATAAAACTATTCATGTGTATAGAAAATGAATGAATTTTGATGTTTCAATAAATAGAATTAACCTATTACATAATCAGATTACAGTAAACATGAGTAATTATAATGGTAAACGTACTGTGTAATGCAAACATTTCCAAAATCTCATAGGCATAAATCAAATATAACATTCAATAGTAAAGATAATATCTTATATAGATTGAGTGTAATGGTAAAGGTTTCCATTTATTTATGAGAAAACTTTGTACAATCCTAACTTACATTCAACTAGTTACTAGATTTTGGTCATTTTAAGATTATTGCCAACAACAATCGTATTTATAATGTTTATTAATGTTATAAGTATGAATTATACAAATCTTTATGAAAGTTAAACAGTCTTTTAAGAGTAAAGATGGATAGTGGCTAGTAGTGGGATACAGATTGACGTGCGTTTCGTCCTATTTGGGACTCGTCAGCTAGATGTAACTGCATCTCACAGTTAATGTCCACTCTGGGACTCGAAACCAGTAGCGTTTGCTTCAAACGCCATCGCGTTAACCACTTAGCTACTGAGTCCTGATGGACACTGGCTCTTGTAATGGGGTGAAGCTTAAACTCAAATGGTGTTGTTTTACTTGTAATCATCATCAACTCTGTGATGCAGATACATCCAGCTGACGAGTCCCAAAAAGAACGAAACGCGTGTCCAACTTGATTCTATTGCTAGCCACTATCCAACTTTGCTTAAAAAGCTTGTGACTTAAGGCTATATCGAGTCAATCTGCACAGGATGCACATATGACGAGATGAGACTGATCAATAACAATGGGATGATACAAGTAAAACAACGACAAGTTAATTTAATCTTTTAAGAGATTTCTAAAACCTAATGCGTTGTAACCGGCCAAAAAACGGATATTATTTGACATAATATTTTATTTTATTTATTTAAATACATAAACATTGGTACAAGAAGACATCAAACAGATATGTGCTAAGTAAATTGAATGATTTATGTGAGGGATGGGATACTACCCGGATGTCCAAACCGAAACAGGTAGTTTTCTTAGGGGGCCACATATTGAGACTTTGACCTAAAAATCTAATCCACAAGGCAGTCGAGCAACGTAAGGAGATGCAGTCCTATGGTAGCCGTTGGCAAACAATAGTTTCATATACCATTTGTTTCCATAGGATCATGGAGCCCATGTACACTACTGGTTTGAAATCAGGGTTTTTCCAATTCCCCTAGGTGAATCCTCCTTTGAATCATTGAGTTACCATCCTGATGTATAAAATAAATGTATTTTATTTGGAGAAATATTTGTCTTGCTTACTTACCCCTGTTACTCCTCGTAAAGGAGCATAGGTCACCCACCAGAACTCTCCATCCAACCCTGTTCTGGACAATTCTTTCTAGTTTCTATTCATTATTTTTATATCTGCTTCTATTTCGCAACGTAACGTGATAAAGTAGTGAAATTTCATCGGTTGACATGGCTGGGACATGTGTTACGTATGCCAAACCATCGACTGAAATAACGTGCAATGTTTCATGGTGTACGAGTAGGTTGGAAGAAAACTAGGGGCGGTCAAAACAAAACGTAGCA